ACAATACTATTTAATAAGTGTGTTAATGAAGGCGTGTGGCCTGATGCTTTTAAATTGTCAAAGGACATTCCCATTCATAAGAAAGGGAATGAAGATAATCTTGATAACTATAGGCCCATCACAATAATTCCATTAATAAGTAAATTATTCGAAATTGTAATCAAAGAAAAATTAATAAAGTACTTTGAAAAGCACTCCCTCCTTTCAGCTTCCCAATTTGGTTTTCGGAAGCACTGTTCAACCATTAATGCCATGCTTAGTTTTCTTGAGGATGCATTAGAGTGCATTGACAAGAGAACCACCGCTCTAGCAACTATGTGTGACTTAACCAATGCTTTTGACTGTGTAGACGCAGTTATACTGCTTGACAAATTGGAGTACTATGGGATCCGTGGCAAGTCATCCCAGCTTATGAAATCATACTTAGTTAATAGGAGACAGATGGTTAGCCTTGATGGAGTAGAATCCCAGGTTCTACCGATTACGAACGGAGTACCCCAGGGCTCTGTCTTGGGCCCTCTATTATTTTTAATCTACATCAATGACCTCCCACAAAATGTCAACAATAGCAAATGCTACCTTTTTGCAGACGACACTACTCTGCTCTCCAAGGCTACCCAACTTGACGAGGCCCACAGTCTCGACCAGGTTAAGCGGTGGTTCTCCGCAAACAAGCTCAAACTTAATGAAGCGAAAACCAGTACGCTAAGAATAACTTCCGACAAATGGAATGAGACTTCATCATCCGTAAAGTTATTAGGGATCGTTGTGGATAGCCGCTTGACCTGGTCGGAGCATGTGGACCAGGTGTGTACCAAGATCTCCAGACAGATGTTTATCATGAGGCAACTGGCTCAGTGTTTGCACAGACAAACCATGAGAACTGTATACTTTAGCCTCATTCATAGTCATCTGTCGTATGGTATCATCCTCTGGGGTAATTCTGTCAAGGCCCAAAAAGCATTTACAATGCAAAAGGCTGCTATACGGATTGTAGCTGGCGTCTCCTACGATCATACGTGCCGCGGTTTGTTCAAAGAGATGCGCATACTGCCGTTAGCATGCCTGCTCATACATGAGACCCTTTTACATGTTCACGCAAACCTGATTACTTTTTCGATAAGATCAGAGACACACAGCTATAATACAAGATACGCTAATGATATATCATTACCGCAATCTAGGATCGCCATGACACAGAACAATAAGATTAATGTGTCGCTTTACAATAACTTTGTTAGATATCATAAGCGGTCCAATATTGAGAAGATGTCTAACAAACAGTTCTCTAGGTTCGTCAAAAACTATATGTTAAAAAACTGTTTCTATACTGTAAGTGAATATTTAAGCGCATGTGATCCTAGTGATCAGTGATCGTGTGTAGAGCAAGAAGACAGACTGTATAAACTTTATCTAGTTTGTGACCTCAAACATGTATCTATATGTATAAGTGGTCAATAAATGGTATGGTATGGTATGGTATTATTATTAAAATTATTATTATTATTATTTTTTATTTTTTTTTTTTATTTTTTACCCACAGCGGCATCGACTTCTAGGTCATTAGCCGCTTCCCTCCTGCCTCATTAGGTCATTTTTTTTTTTTCCAAACCTAACATCTCAGGGGTAGATCTGAGATGGAAATAGAAAGACACAGGACAAACATATATGGTATAAATAACAGTAATTATAGTATACAGACAAGTTCAATATTTACTCCGCATGTGACTGAGAATCTTTAATAGCTAAGCTGCCTCTTCAGTTATCTAATGATGTGACATCCACGTGTATACCATTTTATTTTTCAGAGCTGTCCAGTATGATACAAGGATAATAAGGTAAGACCAGATAGGTATGGGATGTAGGTGAGAATGCGTCGTAAAATGTTGATGTGGAAGTGGCTGGAGGCGTAACGAAATAGGAGTATCTATATCTTGGTGTATGTATCCGAGCGCAGCAGGAAATCCATAACTTTTGGCCATTCCGTTTTGAGCAGGGTTTGTATATTGGAAGACATCTGTAGTTCCCTGCGGAGATCACTGTAGAGTCGACATTCCACCAGAATGTGTTGAACAGTGAGGTCTGTTTGACATGCTAGACATTGTGGTCTGTGATCGCCGGCCAACAGGTACGCATGGGTCAACTTACAATGGCCAATTCGTAGTCGGCATAAGACTGTCTGCTGCCGACGATTCAGTTGCTTCGGATAAGTCCATTTTTCGATACTTGTCTGGACGGATCTCATGTGTCCGTCATATAGGTCCCATTTGTGCTGCCATGCTTGTTTTGTAGTGTCTTTTAAGTGTTTTACATAGTCAGATAGCGGAGTAGGAATGCCTTCATCCGGTGGCATGGTGGCTGCTTGCTTTGCCGCTGCATCAGCCAATTCATTGCCGATAATATTCACATGACTAGGTACCCATATGAAACGGACTTTTTTATGGTCATTTTCTAGTGAGCTGGTTAAGTTCAAGATTCGACTTATTCTTTCATCCTTGGTGAAGTTATTTCCTATGGAGCTGATCACACTCAGAGAGTCTGATACTATCGAACACGCTAAGCTAGATGACAATGCAAAGAATAGAAGTGCCTGCCAGATGGCATAACATTCTGCAGTGAAAATACTTGAAATCGGATCCAGGCTCCACATGTGGCAAACACTGTTAACTACTATTGATGCTCCCACTCCGGTACTGCTCTTAGATCCATCCGAGTATATGAAGAGATGATCGTGGAGGTGATCTGTAATTTGTTTGAAGCGAGCGAGATACACCTGGGGTGCTGTCTCATTTTTAAGAAATACAGAAAGGCGAATATCAATATGTGGCTTTGACCTAGTCCAAGGTGGAGTGTCGTATGGGGCTCTCTGCAGCACATCCCTTATTGATTTGTTGTTCGCTTGTTGGAGTTCAAGGCTACGGATTCTGGCTGGACGTGTATACGTTGGACGATTTGTATGTTCGTTATCGCTTTCCAATATACTCAGATTAATATGTCTGGTAAGAGATTTTATTTTAGTCATATAGATGGCAGTTTGCATTTCACCTCTTAATTGTAAGGGTATTGCTGCAGCATCACAGAGGACGGCACTTGAAGGACTCGTACGAAAAGCCCCTGTAGCCGCTCTTAGGGCTGCCAGTTGAATCCTTTCAAGTGCCTTGATCTTGGATGGTCTTGCAGAATTGTAAACAACTCTGGCATAGTCAATTCGAGACTCGATTAGGCTCTTGTAAACCTTTATGAGAGCTTCGCGGTCTGAACCCCATCGGGTATTTCCTATGCATTTGATCAGGTTGACGGATTTTCTACAACGAGTTGTGAGATGTTCAATTTGATCCTTCCAGTAGAGCTTGTGGTCAAAAATAATGCCCAGGAACTTAACAGAGTTTTCAGCTTTTATAGTTTGTCCTCTCAGTGTGAGAGAGACCTGCGGATGTGCTGTGCGAAGTCTGCAAAAATGGATGCACGTCGATTTTGTTGCTGAAAAGGAATACCCTCTATCCCTTGCTATACAGTCTAGTCTGTTTATTTCATCCTGCAGATGGTCAAAGTTTCCATCAAGTGCGGCGGTGGAGAATATGCAGAGATCGTCTACATATAAGAGGGGTTGAATGTTCGGAGGAGTGCTATCAACCAGGAAGTTAATGGCTACGATGAATAGTGAAACACTTAGAACGGATCCTTGTGGAACGCCATTTTCCAACCTCCTTGTCGAGGACCTGGAGTCTCCGACCTGGACTCGGAATGAGCGATGAGACAAGAAATTTTGGATAAGTTTTGGGAGATTGCCACGAAGACCCCATTCGTGGAGCTGTTTCAGAATACCAAAGCGCCAGGTCATGTCGAACGCTTTTTCCAGGTCAAACATGACTGCCGTTAGGTGTTGCCTTTTAATGAATGCATCCTGGACTGCATTTTCAAGATTTACGAGTGCATCTACCGTGGAGTGGTACTGCCTGTAGCCGACCTAATTGTTTGAGATCAGCTGGTTATGTTCTAGGTACCATACTAGTCTAAGACTTATCATTCTTTCAAAGAGTTTTCCCAGGCAGCAGGTTAGCGACACAGGTCGATAGCTGTTAGGTGAAGTAGGGTCTTTACCGTCTTTGAGAATGGGTACTATAATGGCAACCTTCCAGGCATCAGGGTATATACCTCGCACTCACGCATTATTGAATATCTGTAGTAACTGAGTTTTGACAGACCTTGGAAGGTTTCGAATCATGCAGTAAGGTATCATATCTATACCCGGTGCAGAGTCTTTACAGTTCTCTAAGGCAGACTCGAGTTCTTCATATGAGAATGGTGCATTGTATAGATGTAGTTCCGATGTGTCAAAATTGATTCCCTGTGCTTCGGAATTTAGTTTGAGCTGCTGAAAGTTGGGATCATAATTTGCATTGCTGCTAGCGTGTTCAAACTGGTCTGCAAACGTGTCGCATATGCAAGAAACATCCTCGATTACCGAATTAGCTACCTTCAAAGCGCTTGGGGGTCTAAACGGATTCCTGCCTGCAATAACATTGATCTTTTGCCACATCTGTTTGATAGGTGTTTCAGAAGTTATGGACGAGACATAAGTTTCCCATGATTTCTTTTGGCTCTCATTTATGAGCCTTCGTGCTTTAGCACGTAGTTTTTTGAAAGAGATCATGTTGGCCATGGTTGGGTTGTGCTTGAATCTATTCAGAGCGGTTTTCTCCTCGTTGACTGCATTCTGAATGTTTTCATTCCACCACGGCACAGCTTTATTAGATGAGGTCCCGGATGTCATGGGAATGCTAATCTTTGCTGCATCTGTTATAGCGTGTGTGATATCGTCCACTGCTATATTAATGTCTTCAGTTAGAGGAGGGATACGAAGGTGCTCAGAAAATGTGTTCCAATCAGCTTTCGCAGTCAACCATCTTTTATGTGTCGGATAGAAAAGTTTGGGGACATCCGTTGTTATGATGATTGGAAAGTGATCACTAAAATTGAGATCATCTAAGACCTTCCAGGATAATCTAGTAGCCAGTTGTGGTGAGCATAGTGAGAGATCTATAGCAGAGGATCCAGCTGTTCTGATATCGAAGTGTGTAGGAGATCCTGAGTTCAATAGAACTAAGTTCGATGAATCAATGTATTCCTCTATAGTTCGTCCCCGGATATCTCTGCGCATAGATCCCCAAAAAGGTGAGTGCGCATTAAAATCGCCCATCAAAATAATTGGTCTTGGAAGCTCTGATAGAAGCCTGTACAACTGATCAATATGCCAATCGCCATCAGGTAAGTATAAGCTACACAATGTAGCAGCAAATGGCGTTGTGATGCGAACTGCGACAGCTTGAAGTTCCGTATCCAGTCTCTGTTCCTGCGCTATGATATTCTGCTTTACGAGTAAGGCCACACCACCTCGTGCTCTGCGGTCTGGTATGACATCCTTGCGGTAAGTATTGTAGTTTCTAAGAGAGAAAAATGTCTCTGGACGGAAGTGGGTTTCCTGTAATGCAATACAGAAAGGATCGTTCTCCCTAACCATCACACGAAGTTCATTCACATGAGACACACAACCATTGCAATTCCATTGCATTATGTTTTGCATATTGTACTAAAAAGTTTAACTCCTACAATTAAAATATGGAGAAATTATCCCAAAAGTTAGAAAATAATGTAAAAGTAAATATTAAATAAATATATAAATACATGGACAAGTAAACAAATATCAAATTAAGGTGAATAAATTAACATAGAATTAAATATTAAAATTTTAACTATCTATTATCACAGGTTCATCACAGTTAGGTTCGCTTCCAATCTGGTTGTCTCCAGATTGTGGGTTTGAAGCATTAGGTTGTCCACAAGACGCAGTATTAGTTCTTGCGTTGATTTGATCTGGCTTGGTTTGAGCTGGAGCAGCCCTCTTTCGGGGTCTACCCTTCGGCCAGCCGCGCTTGCCTTTTCTGGATTCTGGGTCGTCGGTCTGAGATGACGTTAGACTTGCATCAGAGAGATCTGACCCATCAACAGGTGAGGATGCCTTTCTTTTTGATTGATTAGAGGCATCTGATTGGCTGTGGTTTCTAAGAGACAAGCTATGTGATACTTTTGGCTGAGGTGTAACGAATTGAGGTTGCTCAATTTCATGGAAGTCTTTGCCTTTCAGTGCTTGAGAAATCGAAGATTGGATGATATTAGTCAGACGTGGGATGATCTTTTCGATAATATCATCATCCTGGCTCTTTTGCGTGGCTTGTGCATACGACACGTTTGGTTGTGGAGTATGCACCACCACCTTTTTCTTGGCCTCAATATAACTTATTTTGTCAGTAGCGATCAGTTTCTGAATAGCCAATTCTGTTTTGTATCTTGGGCATTCCTTCGATGAAGCCACGTGAGGCCCATGACAATTTAGGCACTGTACCGGGCGATCACATGGTCTTCCCATGTGTAACTCCTTTCCACATATGCATACCTGTTCATTTTGGCAAGACAATGACGTATGGCCGTACCGTTGGCATCTAAAGCAGCGTACTGGTGGGGTAATATACTGCCGAACATCAAGTTTATACATAGCGCATTTAAGTTTCGATGGTAATCTGGGGGAGTTGAATGTGATTATGTGATTTGGTGTATCACGCAGTTCATTGTCCCTCTTGACTCTAATTCTCTGTACATGTATTACTCCTTCTGATTTCAGTTCCTCGAGAATTTCACTTTCAGGGCAATTTAAGAGGTCTTTGCAGTACACGACCCCTTTGCTAGAATTTAGCGTTGGGTGGGCTTCTACTGTGACAGGAATATCTGTAAAATTCTGTATTCTTATGAGTCTGTGAGACTGGGCATCTGTTTTTGTTTCCACCAATATGCCAGCTTTAATCTTTTTAACAGAGTTAGGGTCTCCTATTATACCATTTATGGTCTTAGAAATAAGGAATGGACTAACTGTTGCAAAATTATCGTTATCAACTCTCTTGATGACAAGGAACCGGGGGACGGGCCCATCCGTCTCCTTGACATTATTGTTCGGTCCAGTGGAAGCTCTACATGTAGCTCCACCTTCGCCATCGTTGCCTACATTTAGGGGGCAGGCACACCCTTGGTTTTTGTTTTGTTTGCCATGCGAAATGCTGATCTTCACTTCCTCGGCTCCCCACCCTCCATGGAGCCTCAACGGGAGATTGTGCTCATTATCGCCTTCCGCTAGAACACAACCCCAGGGATACCGTGAATGTCGAAACAAAGGAAGTATAGTCCCCACAGATAGCTCCACCATACATCGAGGATAGCAAACCATCCTCGTCTGGCTTCTACTACCTGTGGAGGCTCGCCCAGCCAGCCCTCTGACGGGATGGCGCAGCCGATTGACCAACGCTGGGCTAGGCGTGGCCGCCCTTCTAGACTGACCGCCGGACCAAAGTGGCGTGTTGCCCCCCTGACTGGTAGGGCTCAACCACCAGGATTCCATTGGCCAGCTTACGGGTCGCCGGGCACGGCACAAACACCCGGGAGGCTAAGAGGAAGCTCCACACGCCGCCTCAACGCATGGGGTAAGGATAGGAGAGGAAAGTCGAGGGAAAGGGGACAGCTGTACAGGATATAATAAAAGGAGAAAGAATGGGAGAAAAGGGGAAGGAAAAGTCCAGGGTTTGGCAGAATTAGTAAGACTACCAAACCCCGATCTCCCTGCCTGGGGCCGTGGGGGCGACGCTCCCCATGTATCTTCTCTTGAAACGGGATCAAAGATCCGGCTTCAAAAGTAGATACCCCCTGCGGGGATTATTATTATTATTGTAATTATTATTATTATTATTATAATTAAGATTATTATTATTATAATTATTGTTATTATTGCTATTATAATAATTATTATTATCATAATTATGATTATTATTATATTATTATATAATTATTGTAATTATAATTATTAGAATTATTATTATTTTTTTTTTTTTTTCCCACGGCTTCGACTGATGATGTCATTTGCCGTATCCCTCCTCCACATATAGGACATGTCATTGTCACCCAGGGGTAGATCTGAGTGCATTTTATCACAGGTAATATCAATCATCAATAATATATTTAAAGTCTCAATATATTTAATAGGTGGGTTCTTTTCTCACTTTTCAAGTATCACACAGTGTGTGTCTTGGATACTGAATTATATGTTAAGTACTCATCGAGTAGAGAATAGTAGGTAACTGGCATGTACGTTTATTATGCATTATATGTCACATGGTTTTAGTTATTGGTTTATTTGTATAAGCTATTTTATGGAATATCTTATTCAGGGTTTAATAAGTGTATCATCTTACATGTTTATATTTTCAGGAAAACTTGTATTTCTCTTAAGAAGTTAAGGATGTTTATCATGCTACCGGCGTCATTGCCACAGAGCCCACGTTGTAGGCTGTTAATAATGTCAAACGATTGGCGGACTCTAGAATATGTTGGGCATTCCAAGAATATGTGGTCAATTGTTAGCTGAGTTTGGCAGTTTTCGCATTGCGGTGGATCCAGGCCGCGAATGAGATGCATGTGTGTTATGTTGCAATGGCCTATGCGTAATCGTGTAAGCGTCACCTCTTCTCTTCGTGGTAGTGATGGGAGGTGCCATTTTTTAACTGTAGGTTTGTATCTTTTGAGGGTAGTTTCGCATCCATTCCATCTCTCTTGCCATACAGATATCAACTTATTCTTCAGAAAATTTTTCAGGTCTTCCGGGTGGACCAGGTTGTTGGCGTTGACAGTATCGGTTGCTGCTTCACGGGCCAATTCGTTAGCCCTTTCATTACCTGGAATCCCTACATGACCTGGAGACCATATAAAGATAACATATTTCCGATCTGATTCCAGTAAGACAAGCCAATGAAGTATTTCTTGAACCAATGGGTCAAAGGAATTTGTGGCAGATATAGATTGAATGGCACTAAAGGAATCGCTGCAGATTAGGTAAGTACCTGCTTCATTGTGGTTATTTATATATTCCAGTGCTTTAAGCAATGCAAGTTGCTCGGCTCTGAAAACCGAGGTCATGGGATGTAGTTTAAATTTTTGCTCGTGTCCCGTTGATGTATAGGCACATCCAACGCTATCAGCTAACTTTGATCCATCTGTATATATAATATTTTTAACGTTTGTGTAACTATTTACAGTGTCATTAAACAATGCAAGAAATAAGGAGCTATTGGTTTCATCCTTCTTGTACCGTGCACACTGCAAGTCCAATACAGGTTTGTTTAATGTCCATGGTGGCGTTGAGCTATGTTTTAGATTATAAACGTCAGGAAGTTCGAGGTCGATGCTATTCAAAATTTCTTGAATCCTTACACCTGAAGGTCGTGTTATGGTAGGTCTGTCCAGGAAGGTTTGGTTGATTGCTTGGTCGTATAGGATGTTGTAGTTGGGATGAGGTGGGTGTGACCAAATCTTTACACTATAATTCATAGTCAACTGCTGGAGCCTTATATCAAGAGGAGGAATACCTGAATCGCAGTATACCGCTGACGAGGGACTTGTTCGAAAAGCTCCGATACATAATCGCAGACATTGGTTATGTATCTGTTCCAAGTGTCGTAGATGAGATTTCCTTGCGGCTCCATAGATGATTAATCCATACTCGATTTTAGACAGAACAAGTGACCGATATAACGAGAGAAGGGTATCCCTGTCAGCACCCCAGTTTATGTTCGATATGCATTTCAAGATGTTCATAGACTTTTTGCATTTCACTATAAGATTATTGACGTGTTCTTTCCAATACAGCTTTCTGTCGAAAGTTAGCCCCAAAAGCTTAACAGTATCATCGATCTGTATTGCGGTGTTTCTCAGTAGCAGGTGAGGATGATTGTGAGCAGTTCGTAGCCGACAAAAATGAATGGCGGTGGTTTTTGATGCTGAGAAGCGGAAACCAATACTTTGAGCTTCTGTAACTAGGCTGTTTATTGCTGCTTGGAGTTTAATCTCGATGTTCGACATATCTTTGTCCGAGTAGAAGATCGTGAGGTCGTCTACGTATAAACATTTTCCAATGTCTGGATCTATTGTACCTATAAGACGGTTTATAGCTATCAGGAATAGCGTTACGCTGATGGTGGAACCCTGAGGTATACCGTTCTCGAGAGTATGCGGCTGAGAGAGGTGTTTGCCGAGCCGGACTTTGAATGTTCGGTTTTCTAGGAACTTGGAAATGAATTTGAGCATATTACCTCGTATACCCCATTCATGTAAGGTGTTGAGTATTCCTCGTCTCCATGTTGTGTCATAA